ACACACATTTTTAAACAAGAAAGTCTGTGGCCAGTTCACACGTGAAAAAACATCATGCACCAACTAATTTTCACGCATAGTGACCTGTCCATGAAATAAGTTAATAAAGTTTTTTTTTCAGTAAATGGAAATAATGAAACTCTTTAATTTGCGTCCTTCTGAACGCGATGACGTTTGCTGTGAAAATGGGTAAACGTCATCGCGCTAGCCCATGTTCAAGATGTGTGTGTTTAAAAAACAAAAAGCCCCGAAGTTTTGCAGGTTTTTGCCTGATAAAATCATCTACTTCTTTTATGCGTTTATTGCGGGCGACAGATAAACACGAAAGAAAAATGACATTTGATGAAGGCTGAGAAGCTACACTCATGAATGCTACTTGGAGAATGAGTCACAGAATCATGTGAGCAGGCAGAACCAGTGTTTGATATAAGCAATCATACTGCCTCAAACCTATAAGAGATCACACTTTGCATGACTAAACGATTCAAACCCGCTCATACCTGTTAACTTTACACTGTATTAATAGTCCTGAACTTCACTTAAATGCCGTTTTATTTTCTTCATTGTGTATATGAGGTCACTTTGAAATTCGGCACATATATGTTGCTTTGACAAAACTTCACATCACTTCACCATGATTCTCTTGATATTCCGGTAAAACACGTAATAAAGGAAATTAAAACCATAACTGAAATATGTACTACATGTTAGAAAGGGGCTTAAAATTATCCGCCTGCTCTTTAGACTTTTTTAATCGTGGTGGACTCCATTTAATCACGATTAATACAAAGATTAAAATGAAAGCTGGGTCAACGACTAGAACATGGGCTAAATCCTGGTAAGCTAGTTAGCTTATAGCCTAAAGAGCATTAGCTCGGAGTACAAAACCAACTCACCCTCCTGTGGGAGACAAGAAGTCTCCGTCCTCATCGTCCCCGACGAACATTTTTTAAAAGTTTGAAGCCTTCGTCTATTAAATAAAAGAAACGCACAAAAATATATTAACTGTTTGACATGACTAGTCTGCGACTTCCCCTTCCTGCTTGTGCAAAAGTCAGCTGACTGTCCACCTGATCCGAGTTCAATTGACCGCAACTACCACTAGAGGGGGCCAGAGACCATATATAATCCCTGAAACACGGCCAGGACAGGTGAGGTAGGCAAACGGCACAAGGTCATCAGGAGTTGAGTGTTGCTCAGGCTGTGTCCCAATCCAGGGTTTGCAGCCTTAAAGGCCGCATTTTAAGGCCGATTACATCACAGCGGTGCGACGAAGGCTCGAAATGCGGCCCTCAAATGTGTCCTTAATTTCCCTGAATTTTAAGGCTGTGGCAGTGTAGACTTCATGGCCCAACATATCCCACAATTCATAGCGCGGCAGTCGGTGTGGATAATTTTGCCGCAGACAACGGAAGCGGAGTAAACTGTCAAAAGTAAGTTCTGAATATTATGTCACTTATTTCTGTGCAAATGTTTAATAATGAGGAACATTAAAACATTACTGTTGGCCATATGTCGGCAAAGTTATGTGACATTAGTGATGTTTGTACTTTCAGCGTTTGGTTTTAAAGCCGGACTTTAACGTGTGTTTGAACGAGCTGACGGTTCACTCGTTAAGCTGAAAGAAAGATGCTTTAATCACAGCAGTCACACATGTGTCCACTGTACCATCTGGGAACTCTTCTTGTTTAGCACTCGTAATAACACAAACACAAATTGCTGTAATTGTTTATATGCTTTATATATTCTGAGGTAAGTTGATCTATAGTGTTACATCATATTCTATAAGGATGTTATGTGTTTGTGTACTTTCTGCCCAGTTTGACCCATTTAGCAGAAGTCAGCCTGTTTAAGGCTCTGATATCTATTCTGTATGACTTAAAGCAGTTATGACATGGTCTGATTTTCTCACCCAATAAAGGAATATTTCATATATCAGTCTACTCTTTATTCTATCAGACACAGTTATCACAGCTCGTACATTTGCTTTTTACACATATATGTAAGCATTGAGCCAAATTTAGTAATGCCAACATATTAAAAGAACAATATTTGCCTCTTATATATGATACATCTATATATACACTGTCACAGATACTCGTCTTTGAGTGAAGATTTAAGGTGATTGGAAATGTAAATAAACGCAACTTGAATCTTTACTGAAGCTCAGTGTTTGACACAGAGTTCAAGTTCACTGCTGTAATATATCATAATAATCTGACAATAACTATAATATTGGCCATATTATATTTACATTACCAAAGTGAGATGATTTTAGTCTCATGAACAACATTAGCTAATTGTTATTTACTAGCTAATCTTAAATGACTGTTCAGTACAGAAATGAAGCCCAACAATCGTGTTTTACAGTCCTGTGGTCTCAACCTCAGATACTCAACTAATCAAAGTGATGTCATTGAAAAAAAAAACGAATTTACAAAAAAACATTTTCTCCTTCATTTCTGTCACACAAAACTGTATGAAACGTTTCGCGCGGTTAGTATCATGGTTGCTAGGCAACCTGAGCAGCACGACGACTGTCGTGTCCAAATTCATGGGCTGCTTCCTCCTGAGGCCGCATTTGTAGACCGATTACATCACAGCGACGCGCCGAAGGCTGTCCAAATTCGTAGACTCCTCCGAATGCAGCCGACAAATGCGTCCTCCTTTTCCCCGAATTTGAAGGATCGGTCAGGTGTGTCCTTCGTGGCCCACCATATCCCAGAATTCATAGCACGGCCCAGCCAAACTCCAGTTTCCAACAAGGGCGGCCGCTACTAAGTTTTAAAATTACTCTTACTAATCTTTCTGGGTCACAAAATAAACTTTTAACATATTTTCAGGTGAGAAAGTAGCTGTGTAAACATCAAATATCTGCTCGGTTTATCAAGATATCACATATTTGCAAAAGTGCGTCGACGTTTTCGGAGACGTCTGTGACCCACCAGCTCGATAGCTCGCCGGGAGCTCAAGGGTTACTGATGCGGCCGAGAACGACACAACTCCCGGCACATCATTTTCAGATCTCCGCGGACTTTCGCTACTCAGGTTAAACTTAATATATAAGTCACTTAGACAACCTAAAAATGTTATTGTTGGGCTTTTTTCAGTGTTTTGTTTGTTCGTGAGTAAATTGGTTTGCCTGAGATTACAGTTATTAGATTAGATAAAATAAAACTTTATTAATCCCTCGGGTGGTTTTCACACAGCGGACTAAACGTCAAACAGAAAACTGATTAAACAGAAGTGTGAGACGGTCGAGAATTTACTCCAGTGTCCTGTTATATTTTAGATAGCAAGGAGCAGACGGCCGAGTTTATTAAACTCCACCGAGACAGCGGTGACGCTAATCTGAAGACTAGACCGTCCAATTTCACGGCCGTTTACTTCCGGCCTACCCGACCTTCTGAGGACCCGGCCCACGTAGACCGCGAAGGCCGGGTCCTCAGGAGGATGCAGCCCATGAATTTGGACACGACCGAAGGCTACACCGTCCCATTTCACAAGCCTCGCACTTCCACACTTCTCGTACTTCCTAGCACGCGCCGTACCTAGTACGCGAACTGCCCATACTCCCAAGCTTGCGGTCGCTGAATTGGGACACAGCCATTCAGGGGACGCTGTCCTTTAGTCAACTCTGACCTTCGACCTTACAAGAAAAAGAAGAAAAAGAGCAGAGAATAATTTAAAAGATAAAATAAAAGCAGTAAAATACATTAAATTCTGCTGAGCTTCCATTGTTATTCCTGATTTTTAAAAAAGACAAATGTGAAATTCATGATCAATGAGAGGGCTATGATCCCGACTGAAATGACTGCTGCTGTACTTTTGGGAGCACTAATTATTACAAATAATTGTTATTGCTTTGAGGTTATTATATATGTAGTACATTTCATATATTATATCAATATATTCTTTTTTTAATGAGGTGAAGACACTATACATACATATTCACATCTGGTTTATCAATATCTAATGAAATCATTTTAATGTTATAAAATTATTTCTATAAATTTACTGTGAAAAACATTCTGAAGCCACACATCTGATTTAAATGGGATTATTAAATACTCGTGTGCTTCCTCCATCTTTTTTTTCAAGTGTTTTCCTACCATTGTTTTAAAAATAGATCTCATTATATTCACATAAATGCAACCACATTTCCCTCCATCAGTGTTAATACTGAGTAAGACTCAAACCTTCCTTGTTTGCCAAGTTCATTAAAAGAGCTACATTCACTGGCTCAACTCCAAACAGCATAGGTCAGTCCTGACCGACAGCAACACACTTTAATGTGATATGAGCACCGGTGTTTGAATGTAAATGTATTTGCAGACACTAACAACACTCCATCCTTTCTGCACAGATTGGTAAACTGTTAAATGCAGACTGAGTTATCTCAAATAATTTATTTTTATGATGAGATGTTCGTGGTGTGTCTGTTTGCCTGTGCGTCAGGCTGGCGACCTGTCCAGGGTGTACCCCGTCTCTTGCCCTATAGTAGCTGGGATAGGCTCCAGGCCCCCCGGGACCCTGATAAGGATAAGTTGAAGAGAATAGATGGATGTTCACGGCGTACACAGAACAAATCTTGCTGACACTGATAATGTACAGATTTCACCCTTGGCATTCCCATGAGGTTGAGTAGTGTCCTAAAAGCCAAAACATTCCCTTTAGTTCATGCATGTTGATACATGAAATATCTTTGCCACTAGGCTAGGAGAACATGTGGTATGTCATTGATCCGATTACAACGTCAGAGCAAATATCTAGACAGTGATTGTGTAATACAGCTAAACATTTAATGTCATTTTATTAGGAAAAATTAGATTTTACATCAAAGTAAAATATGTTTCTCCATTCTTCCCTTTTTAATTGAAGTGGCAACCCCCCTTCTGATCTCTCTGGATAGATTACCCCTTAATAACAAATGTAGGGCTGAATCCACCCAGCTTGTTTGGGCCAAAAATCCAAATTTGTTTTAAATCTAACTGTCCAGCTGTCTCCAATATGACCTTATTGGAGCTCTTCGTTTGTTCCCTGTAGGGATGCACCGGTATCGGGCCGATACTGTAAAATGTGTGTGTACTCATACTCGTAAAAGTTAACCGATACCATGAACCGATACTAACTTATTTAATTAATCAGAGGGTGGCTTGTTATTTCTGTTGTAGTTTTTTAGATTGGCCACTAGGGGGACATCCCGCGCTAAACAGGCACAGGGTTAGGCGAGTCTGGCGGCTCCAGATAAAAAAGAGAAACTGGAGGCTGCTGTAGCTAGGCTAAACAAAATGTCAGCAGTGTGGAACAGCCAACTTTAACTCAGGTTTTGGAAAAGCGATGAAAAATGTCAAGAGAAAATCCACGGGCAGTTAAAATAACAGAGGCTCGACTCATTTTATCGCTCTGGATGACCAGCCAATGCCGGTCGTGGAAAACATAGGATTGCACCGTCTTCTCAGCATACTCGAGCTGTGATATGAAATATAATAAATGAACAGAAGTGTTTATTTATTATTCTGAAAGCTCGCCAATAGTTCAGTGATATTTTGTTAAATTACAATGTGGAGACTCTGCAATAATTTAACAGAAGTGCTTATTTTTCACTTGAAATTTTTTTTGTGGTCATTTTTAATAAGATTTTATTTTTTATCGGCAGAGAATAAAATAAAACCTGTCTTCCAATTCATTGCATTTCTGTGTGTGTGTGTGTGTGGTAGAAGTATCGGTTTTTGTACTCTGTATCGGCAAGTACTCAGATCCAAGTATCGGTATCATATCGGTTTGAAAAAATTGGTATCGTTGCATCCCTAGTTCCCTGCTGCTTTAAAAATGTTTCCTTGTGGTATGAATGGTAGTATTGTGTCGACCTACTGGAACATAAAGAAAAACATCCTTTAAAGCACAACTGAATGTATTTTATGATTGATTTGAAATGTGAAAGTGTATCTAATGGTGTCGTGGGCTGTTTCATAGGCTTCCTCAGATTTCTTGCCAGCCACCCTATGCATCGTGTCACTTCATACCTCAACACTCGCACAGACGCAATAGACAATTTAATACAATCCACTTGCTTTACTCTCTTTCAGTATTTACACATGATCATTTTACAGCAATATTATGGCATCTAAGGCATTTTTCACTTGTCAAAAAATATACAAAAATAAAGTTGCATCTGTTTCTTCCCATGTCACAACTGTCATCAGTCCATCCCTTTTGCTGTGCCTAGGAAGAGCTAGGTGATTTTCCTGTTCCGCTTCGCTCTACGTGTGGACGGAAATCTGATGAACTCAAATGGTTTACTTTGGTCCGTGTTGGGGAAGGGAGGTAATCCTGTGTGCAGCCTCTTGATGAAATGGACCTCTCTCTGATTCTCCCTCGTTCTGGAGGCTTTGATGGGCCTCCCTTTCCGGGTGAAAGCCACATACCAGCCCTCATACTTGGCATTCTGGAAGGCTGTGTAATTGTTCTCCAGTACAATCTCAGTGAAGATACAATCTTTGCTCCGGCCATTTGGCTGTGTGAGAAGACAGAAAGGTTTCTTGTGTTACACCTGGACAAAAACTGTTCTGATTCATCTATATATAAAATTATTGCTGGAACTCATGGAATAAATGGCTTTATACAGTGTCAAAAAATGTCAGTGCAAACAGCTTAAAATAAGACTAACATTTGGAAGACAAAACCAAATTCTGATATAAATGAGATGCTGAGAGAACCCAGAACAATAACCCTTCTTATTCCAGTTTACTCGACAGTGAGCTTCTGCTGACTCACTTCTGCAAATAGCTTCTGATGTGCGTCAGGTAGAATTATTATTTTCTTTCTTCACTAATTGCAAAAACAAAACTTATTCAGATTGCCTAAGGTGAGGGTTAGGGCTGGAACTGGTAGCCTTTATGACTTGTATTCATGTATTTCAGTTGGAATCATTGTTCTATTTGTTATTGCCAAGATTTGGAAGAAAAATGGAAAACCAAAACATTAAGTGGTTAAATGCTGGCAAATATTGTTACCTTTGCACAGAGATGTGCTAGCTGTCTTTATGCTGCGCTAAGCTTCTGATTTTAGATGATGTTAAAACAGTTGATAGGCATCAAATTAAAAATGTAATCACCCCTTTCCCCAATGATCAAAGGAAACTAATGTGATTTAATTGTTTGTTGTCATCTTCTGATATGTTAATAACAGGTACAATCTATAATACTAGAAAAATGTAACAGAAAATGTGTGATGGTTACATTCAAGTTTGTTGCAACTTTGTACGCGGAATTCTTGAAAAGAACTGTTCTTTTTATCTTTACCTACAGACTGTGTCGCTGAACTTCTTATCTCTGTACAGATATCACAGCAGCCACAATTTCAACACCTCTGAATCGTGATGAGAACGAGATTTATGACTCGTCATGTCAGCCAGATATGTGATTCCATCTTTTCCATTTCCGTGAAGGAAGTGGAGAGTTGACTTATGACCAAACACACAGGGTGTGCGTGATGGGAGGGTACTTCCCCCAGTTGTCAACCATGGCCAATAGGACTGAGTGATATCACTCAGTCCTGAGAGGATCCCTTTTTTCCAGTACTACATCATGTCCTGAAGTGACTGACAAGGTTTGAGAATTCAGTAACAATGGACTGGAGCTTTAGCATCTGAGCTACAGTGTATGTTTTATTGGATATGCAGTCTGTTAAAGTAAAGTCTGTATTTCCTCTGAGGAAAAGTTTTCTCATAAGTGGTTTTCCTGATATGTAAGTTTTTTTGTCCATCTTATGGGAAGATGGTTACGCTAACTTTACATGCTACAGACGGAACAATAGCACTGATGTGTTCTACCTGATGTGTTCATTTTCAAGATGTTCAAGGTGTTCATTTTGCCTTAACCTCTCAGTATCCACCAGCATCCACCAGATCATTGGGAACCTAGGGTTACAGTTAGGGTTAGGAGTGGGGTTTGCGTTCATATCTACCCCAAATAAAAGTTTTGGAAAAAAAATACTGCATTGGCAAAGTGTGCTTCATTTAAAATATATAATATTGTAGTTTCTGAAAAGCTTCCTGTTTAGAGTGTAGCTAAAACAAAACCCAACACTAACCCTAGATGGGTTGACCTGGTGGATGTCTACTATAACACAGTTTGTCTGCTTTTTTGTTTCTTTATTTCTTTTTGCTTCACAGCATTTGTCCCCTACTTTGCTCACTAACGTCAGCATAGGTGTAGTTTCTGCTACTGTGTTAACACATACCTTTCCAACAAGCTTCCCCTTCCGGTTCATACAGAGGTAGCGCCCACTTTCTGCACCTCTTATCCTAACTCGACTGCCAAAGGTGTCTGTCTCAACAAACAGGCGAGCTGCGGGAAAGACACAAGACTGTCAGGGGGCTGAAGACAAAAGGAGCCTAGGACACAGACTCACTTTTGTCTTGTGTGTGTAATAAGGCATGTACACAATGTCTGTATGGGAATCAGGTATTATTGAAAGCAGACAGTGACACTGAAATATAAAGCCCAATTTCTGCTGTATGACTTTTAGTGTCTGCAGATATAAAACCTACAGGGATAATGAGTTAATGTGCAAGCTGTTTGTATAAGAATCTGCACTTCTTTGCTCTGTGGACTCTGTTGAGCTGAAACTCCTCAGTGATAACAACCTGATGAAAGTCAAAACACCAACTGATTAAACAAATGTTATGTCTGGTCATTAAAGACCTAGATCTTGCAAGCTGAATATACATTCTCACTTATTATTCTGCAGTTAATCATGGCCATTACAACAGTCTTGTGTATTGGGACTACAGAAACAAAGGGCTTGTCCTAATCAGCCACTAAATTCATCAGACGATGGTTTCATGGATACAGCAGGGAGGCTGAATTAACATACAGGACTGAAAACACCTCAAAGTGGGAGGGACGGGCAGGCTGGATGTGAAACTGCTGGCTTTGCCTGAGGACATCAGTGCCCAGCAGGGGCTAAATAGCTGCGCTGTGGGGAACCACAAAACTCCAGATTGTCACTAATTCCTCGGAAGAGTCTCTTTAACAAGGCATTGTCACTGATTGCAGACTAGTGTACTGCATTCTGCCAAACTATGCAAAACCCTTAACCTCTTAACCTCCACCAAGTCATTTGTGACTTATTGGGACAGGAGTACGGTCAGTTGGCGTCTCAGTGGATTTCAACTGAATTTCTACTGAATATAGAATTTTCTCATATTTGGAAGATCAAAATGTTAAAGCTTTAAACAGAAAAAAATGTATGACGCTTTATTAACATGTTCAGCTACTTTGTGGAAAACGGCCCTTTTTAGCATGTGGCTAGCATCATTTTGTGCCTTTTGATAATGCAACTATTACAATATATAGAAATGGTGGAATGAACAAATTTCAGAATTTTTAACTTCTTCATTTGGATTTTGGAAAAATAAATTAATACTCAAAGCCTACTGATGATATGCATGATTTTTAAATATCAAATATATTGTGAATGTAATACACATTTAAGATATGGTAAATAAGAGTGCAATTGATCTTTTCGAGGTTTCTGTACAGGTATAGTTACATAGTCACAAAATGTTCTATATTTATTATTATTATTATTATTATTATTATTATTATTATCATATAAGGAAACATTAATAATAATATCAGTAATATTTTACATAAATATTCCGCCATAATATTAATGTAGAGAAAAGTTCATATTGTTGCAGCTCTACTCAAAATAAAAATACAATCCGGAGAGGAGAGCAAGACAAAATAAAAGTATTAAATTATAACTAAATATATTAAACCAGTTTGTGATCATTACATATTTATCCCGACACGTTTTAAATGATGCTAATTGCCCAAATGTTAACTGTACTTCATAGTTTGCGTGTTTGAACAAAAAGGTACCTTTACATTAAGAAGAAGAAGAACAAGAAAATCTTTTTCACGTAAATGTTTTTGTATTATTTTTCCGAGGGATGGGCTGCTGGAAAAAAAATTGACAACTTAATGCTTTCTCGTTAAATATCTAACGGTAGGCCTTAGTGATCGTAATCCTTGGTTATTCTTAAAGTAACTTGTTGGCTCTTACCGTACAGATTTCCATCCTCGGCGGTGGCGGTGACCCTTTTGCCGTGGATCTGGACGTGTTTCCCGCTAGTGCGACTGTAGAGCTGGTAAACTCTGACCTGTCTTCGGCTGAGCTGGTCCGTCACTGCGCCCTGCGTCCTCACATACTGGTTAAAATTAGGAGACGGGTGATTCTCCCCCTTTTTTATGCAAAGGGAAAAATAAAATACATAATGTTGTCTTTCTAATCTGGGATAAAGAAACGATAGCCAATTTTAGAAGCACCAAAATACGTCAGATTTTTTCCACAAATGAATATTTTGCACACTAACATCGGCACTCATATTCAAAT